TAACTCCGGCCTAACCACAGAATACTATACAGAAGTCCATCTCCATTGTTTTTTGCGTAAATGTTATTCGTCATGATTCGTCACTCAGCAAGTACTGTAAACAGAAGCAGTCTCCCCCCTGGACGTGTGTCCTTATGAATATTTCCAGGGGGTGACTGCTTCTGTTTACGGTGTTGCTGAGTGACGAATAATGACGAATAACGCTTACGCAAAAAACAATGGAGATGAACTTCTGTATAGTATTCTGTGCCCTAACCGCAACCCTAAATCTAACCCTAACCGTAACCGAATTAATAAAAAAATCCAAAAAGAAAAGGTTTGCTGGATGGAAAATAGTGCTAACGGTAACCGAGTGGTTTCAACCATAGATATCTTGTATACACTAGATGGTGCATCTAATTATTCTGCAATTCAAAAATTGAAGCCGTGATTGCAGACTCAGGATACTAGTATTCCCATGAAATGAGAAGACTCGTATGTTTTCTATTTCTTAAACAGGGAACTTAAACATTAAGTTAAACCTATTTTAAGCGTTTATTAGCGAGTGGGAAACTTCAACATGGCCGCCATCTATTCAAATGGGGGTAACCGCTGGAATATTCTTGGCTTCAATTTTACCAATCTCGTACCCAGAGCAATGTCTGTGCGCGGGCTAGGATGGCATTGGCTCTGGGGAAATTGACAACCGAAACCCCTAAATTTAGGGGTTCCGGCTCTTTGTCGGCATGCACGATTGATAAACGTTAAACCAATCACAGCACAGGAAAAATTCAATTTCCCCAGAGCCAATGCCATCCTAGCCCGCGCACAGGCATTGCTCTGCGTACGAGATTGCAATTTTACTAAAAGAGATGCGCGCTATCTAGTGTATATAAGATATATATGGTTTCAACTAAATAAAGAAACAAAATGGATGTCAATGCATCTTATGTAAATGAGTTCTCTCGACTATTATAAATACCAATATAAAACAATATATTATTAAACAATATCATACTTGACCCCCACTCGGGCGGGTTTGTGTCAAGGACGAGTGATAGGGGGGAGGGGACTTTAACATTTTGTGGATTTTCAGCTTGCACGACTTGGCCGTCTGCTTGTGCTGGTCTGCTGGAATTTTAAAAGGTATTTTTCTTTTCTTTCCCTCTGTTCATGAATTCCTTTGCGTGAACCCCATCCCCCCACCCCACCCCATTCTCATGGTCCGCTGCAGAAAACAAAAAACCAGAAAACCTCTGAAGCCAGGGTACTCCTATCCTAACGCGAAACTTCTGACTTGCGAAATACACCACTATTGGAGGGCTTTTGCACATGCTCGCGTGATCAGCCCTTTTCCGGTTATCGTTCCATGTTTTGCGCACCAATATAAGTTAGGGTTAGGGGTTAGGTATTAGGGTTAGGTTAGGGTTAGGGTTAGGGGTTAGGGATAGGGTATGTATATACGTGTATGGAGGTATTCAGTTAACTTTTCAGGACACTATAATATCCATTACATAACGTTTACTATATTGGTGCGCGAAACATGGAACGATTACCCATTTTCCATCCTTCCGAAAATGTCAAAATGAGCCAAATGACACTCTCCTCCGCAGAGTCTGAATTATATAGGATTTGTAGGGATAGTAGAGGATATTTAGTGGATCATACCTTGCGTAATTTGTCCTCCCCCCCCCCCCCTTAATATTACGCAATTTTACTAAAAATTCGTAAGGCTCTGCGGAGGAGAGTGGCCAAATGACGTCAGGTCAGTTTGCTGGATAGCCTGCATGGCAGGCGGTACGTAGCCTGCCATGCAGGCTACTAGTTTTGCGGCAGACGGTATTTCCTTTGCTTCCCTAATTTTCGCTGCCCGTAGAAATACCGCCTGCCATGCAGGCTATTTGCTGGATGGAAAATAGTGCTATAAACCATTGATGAATGATGACGATGATACCTAACCTGGATGATACTAGTATCTCAAGTGAAGAAGTACTTGGCTCAATGAACCGGCCACGTTTTTATCATCATGAGACCCAAAATCACAGCATTGTCAGTGCTTAGCAGCGCAGTTGCAGCCGGTATAGGCCTTTGGTTGGCTTATAAATATTTTTACCGTAAAAAACTGGGCAAGAGAGGTGCAGTCAAGTCCTTGTATATTTACCCGGTTAAATCATGCGCTGGAATCAAATTAGAGCAAGCTGAGATCACGAAAATCGGTGTGCTACTGGATAGGTATGTAGCAATTTAATACTCCTGTTACAAATTATATTTTTTTGAAAACTTAATTTAAACGATTTTACTCGTCAAGGGGATAGTGTTGCCACTCAATGCATATTTGATCAGACTACCTATTAATACTTTAAGTGGCAATGTGCCCCAATGTGCCCTTAACGTTATTATTTTAATATTGAATGTCTAACCAAAATAATTTTACTCTGTCTAACTCCAGACAATTTTACTTGTCAAGTGGAGAGTGCTGCCAGCCTGCCACAGTGCCACTCAGTGGGTTAATTAAATAAAAAGCCCCTCCCTAATAGGGGATTAAAAGAATTATGTAATATCTCTAACTGATGTAACTTCTACATGTTATTACCAACTTTCAGGTCATGGGCATTGTTGAACTCAAAAGGCAGTGTGCAGACTATGCGTCAATTACCAAAGATGGCTTTGATCCAACCGTCATGTGAAGAGACAAAGTATTTATGTCTTGATGCTCCTGGTATGCCGACACTGAAACTAGACATGGATGTTGATGAAAGTGAAGTGGAAAAGAAAATGCTTGAGTATGTCATGCTTGAGTATGTTGCTCTGTGCAAATAAATGTGTGATTACTTTACTCATCAAAGAGAAGTGGAGGAATTGGGACTTAAAGGGTTAACCTATCCACCCATGCCTGATTTGTTAACAGATTAAACCATAGTCTAATGTATTACTCTGTATACACCAAGGGGAAGTGTTTTCCATATGTCTCTTGTTAACCCATTAAACCACAAAATTAATGCACTTTAAATGCATACCCCCCACTTACTCTATCTGACAACATTCATTTTTCCTTCTATGTTATAGAAATGTGTTGTGTATTACGAGTTAATTATAAAAGGACCTCTGGTCATGGGCAGACCTCCTTGTCCTCCTTCACATTCCCCCACCAAAATCATGGAACTAGTTAACTATCCTTTTTCATAATTATTAATATTATAGTCATTGTGGCATGCATGGTGAAGGTTTAGATTGTGGAGATGAGGCTGGCAAGTGGTTTGATGAGTATTTGGGAAAGCCTGGTCATAGGTTGTTCAATGGTTGTAGTGAATGTTTAAAACGTCGAGAATTGAAAGACCATGCAGTATGGGGGAATTCAGTGCAGCCCGACGATAAGGTTAGCATTGCTGGATTGATTTTGATGAAGGACAGGGTGTTAGCCAGGCGGCCGCCCAACCGTCCTATGGACGGCCACATCTGAATTTGGACGGCTAAATTTTAATGGATGGCCTAAGGGAATATTTTCTAAAAATAGCAACCTACAAGCTTTGTAATATTTCTTGAATACTTCGCGCCATATTTTTGGCGACACGTTACAGTTACGGTAGTGATCATACCATACGTTTGCTTTTACTAATTTAATGACGAAAATGTGCATCTAAAACTAAAAGTAAAAAGGTTCAACGAACAAAACACCACAATTCTTCAACAACAGAAAATTGCCGCCACGCCCAAAAACATGTGACCACGCCCACAAAAATATGTTGCCACGCCCACAAAATTATTTTGGACGGCCACTTTTGAAATCCTGGCTAACACCCTGATGAAGGAGTGATATGCACTAATGACTGTGCAAGACCCAATACCCTTATGACCTTACAATTCTCTCTTTGGTTTAGATGGTTTACCAGGATAGCTCTCCAATAATGATGGTATCTGAGGCATCATTAGAAGCTGTAAACAAAGAGTTGGAAAACCCAGTTGACATTAGAACATTCCGACCTAGTATTTTTATTGAAGGTTGTTTTGAATTTGAGGAGGATTCATGGCAGAGTGTACAAATTGGCAATGTTCTGTTAAGAAAATTGCGACAAAATACCAGGTATGTATATAATTATAATGCATCTTTATTCATTGGATGCATCTATCAATCTGTATCGATGAACCACTTTAATTTTTGCCTATAGTTCAATACATCAATCATTTCATCACAACCATGCATACCTGAAGTTTGCAATTGGTATAAAGTCAGACTGGAAGCATTCTGTATCATGTGCAACATTTCACTCAAATAACGATGCATATTACAGGAATTAAACCAGGAAATCAAATCACAGGTAGAAGGTATATATTATGCACTAAATGTTCTAACAATACTATGGAAAATATTAATTGTTCATTCAGATGTGTATTAACAACAGTTGACATGGATGCTGGTGTAAAACGAAATGATGGAGAACCGCTGGAGACTCTAAAAAGGTGATGTAGGATTGTGGCTTTGAATTTAGTTAATGCTCCCTAACTTAGCCATTCTGTCCACTGTCTGCCTATTAATCATTCAGATTTTGTTGGTATCTCACTCGATTCAATAGTTGAAGGGTGTTGTTGATGGAAATTATTAACAAAATCTTAATATTTACCCATCATCTAAAACATGGCAGCACCCTGTATTTATATATACATGAGCTTGTGGTTAGAGCTTGACAACTGGCCTCTGTAGCTCAGTTGGTTGGAGCACTGCACCGGAATTGCAGGAGCACAAGTTCAATTCCTGCCAAGGACCTAAAGTTACATTTTTCACAGCTGTTCCTGGTTATATAAATTATATAAATTTCCATCAACAACTCCCTTCAGTCAATCATTCAGCCAACTATTTATGACTCTCTTTTCTCTTATTCAGAATATGTGTATCTAAAGGTGATGATGCAAGATATGGACAGAGGCCTTTGTTTGGAAATCATTTTGTTGCTGATATACCTGGGCAGATTCATGTTGGAGATGATGTCACTGTTCTTGCTTAATTAACCTGATCAGAGCCAGCACTCTAGTCTCCCATTCATGAGTAAAATTGTCTGGCGTAAGACAAAGTATTAAACATCATGGTACGTTAAATTAACCCATTAAGTTGCATTGCACCCCAATGTGACCTACTTTATTATTTTACTATGTCTAAACACCAGATCATTTTACTCGTCAGGGGCATGGGTTAATTTATTCAGAAATATGGCACTCCATGTCATATTTAAAAATGGTTAAATAGGTACAGTATGCTAAGCGTACATGTATCAGCTCATGGTGATTGCATCGTTGCCATGGAGTTCAATCAATACTCAGTAGCTTGTAAAAATATTAAGAAACTGACGTTTATTAAGCCATTGAGTGGCAGGACTCTCCACTTGACGAGTAAAATCGTCTGGCGTTAGACAGAGTAAAATACTAAAGTAGGGCGAATCACAATGCATTGCCACTTAAAGGGTTAAGAGGATGCATGGGCAGTTTGGTTAACCCTACATTGAGTGGCAGCACTCTCCACTTGATGAGTAAAATTGTCTGGCATTAATAGACAGAGTAAAATACTAAAGTAGGGTGCATCAGGGTGCATTGCCACTTAATTAAAAGTTGACTAGTTAAATGATCGAGGTTAGATTTATACAGGGTTCGTTCATGTGAAGAAGAGTCAAATTCAAGGCCATGTATCAGCAAATTCAAGGACTAAATACTGAAGAAAAAGGGTTAGAAATCAGTAAAATCTGACGTTGAATTTTTCAAAACGCAACTTTAATGAGTTTCGAACAGCTTTGTCCGACAGTTTTTTACAAATTTTTGGTGTTAAAAAACATACATATGCATTATATTACTCCATATTTTTAGCAAAATTTGTCGTCTTTGGCACCAGAACAATCACACAGTGAGCAAAACATTTTGGTAAATGTCCTTTGACTCTCAACAAACACTAGCTTCACAGCGCTACAAGAATGGCGGGAATGCGCGGGATCTCCAACCACGAGTTATTAAAAATTAACTAGCTTTATCTTGCCGTGACTTTTTATTTTGCCCTGAGTTAATTTCGTTTTCCCGCGAGTTAACTTTATTTTTCCGTGAGTTAATTTCTGTTTTGCCGTTGCAGTTAATTTTATTTTGCCGTGGCTCAGTTAATAGACGGAATTTTCCGCGCCTTTACTTTCGCTGTGATAGTGGGCCACATTATTTTATAGCGCCTGGGGGCGGGGCAGCTCGACAATTACCCAAACTCTTATTAAAGAACGACGTTTCGAAGTCATCTTGACCTCATTTTCAACAGAAAACGATTAAATTAGTATAAATAGCGTTTACAAATAATTGCGCTAAGCTTGTTAAGCAAACTCTTCCAAGCTTGGTAAGCTTGGTGGGATTAACAGATCACTTCATTTAGCCAATCAGATTACCAGCTTTTTTGGATCGTGATCTGATTGGTTAAAATGAAGGCGGACCAGAAAGTAGACGGGTACCTACAAAATAGCGAAATAGCTGGTATCCTGGCGTGAAACTTTACAACTTAAAATAGTTTAATTTAGGTTTTTAATCTTGTTTCTAAATTTGATATGACATAAAAAAGTAGTAAAGATAGATTTTTATAAGTTAGATAAAAAACACAAAACACACTGCTAACTTTGTTTAGTAGCAATCAATTGATCGGTAAATTAGATGATCTGTTTTTATATCGAATGGTAAATTAGAAATAAAATTTTTAAAAAGAAAAGTGCCTCATCAGTCCATACTTCCCGACTCTGCTAGCCCGTATCGGTCAAGTCCGTCTCGTGCTAGCCGCTAGAACGCCGTATGTTAACGTTTAAGCTAGATTTCGGCTAAACTCAACGCTATCGTCAGAGGCGGTGAATAGGTGGCTTACCAACCGGTATCGAACGAACTACGGGGGAGAGTGCCGGCGGCCCCCAGACCATTACGCCTGGCACCCTTTTCGCAAGATCCTATGATCGGTAACTACCACACACAAGTAATAGTAACATTTCGGTATATAAGTACGTTACAGTTGCCTGGCGTGGTGCATGTGGGACGCTTTAGGTCGGTGTTTACCAAACCATTGAAACAAACGCATGCGCGATAACTTGACACTCGGGTAAACGTAGCGCATGCGTGGGCATCATCCAATCAGGACGCAGGAAAATTTCGCACTGGTCCCGCGAGTTCGAGACACGTGCGAGACGGCTCAAAAATTTCAAAAAATTATTTGTTTTCAAAACAAATTCAGATGAAAATATTTATTATTCACATGTATTTGCTTGTCGAAGGTTAAAATTTAAAGATTATATCTATCTAAGACGATGAATCAACTGGAATATATGAAGGCGAAGTGAAATCTACACCGTCAATTAACCAAGAGGTCGCGCCGCCATTGGTTTCTACTTTCTAGTCTGACACGAAAGGTACAACGCTTTTAATATATTTTGTACTGTTTTGTTTCCTTTTTTGACGATAGTTGATGCGAAAATATTCTTGTCTGAAGCTTGCTTCAATCGTCAAAAGAGGAAAGTTCTTAGTTTGGCTTGATTAGTATTTGTATTTATGAATCCTATATTTAATAATTATTAACTTCCTTTTAATAACCTGGATATAAAGTTTCTATTTAAATCTTGCACATAGTGTAAATTCTTGCATACAGAATACACCCTTCTGGAAAGTATCTTAATACTTTGGCCATAAAGCCTAACATCATGCAATATCATGAAAGGGATGGCCAAGGTGATGTCAGTACTTTCCAGAACCATTCAATCATGTTTATATTGTCTTGAATTGTATGATTCAGCTAGGATATATGAAACGTTGGATAGTAATGGGTCATTCCAGAAAACATCCATACCACCCCCACGAAGGAAATAGGAAGTTAACCCCCCACCCCCTTCGGATGTCCCAATACATTTACTATTATCAGAAACAATTTTCTCTCCCCTCCCCCTCTGGACGGCAGAAATTTCCTCCGTGGGGGGAGTATCTTTTCTGGAACAACCCAATATACCGTAAACCTCGGAGTATAACCCTCCTCCTGGTATAAGCCTACCATATTCACTAACACACAGGCCATTCCAAATATAAGCCCCCCCCCCATGTCTAAAGCATTGGTTAATTAGCACCGTGACAGTGATTCCAACAGCTCAGACGAGTGAGAATAATTATAGATTACAGTATTGTAATGTATAGATTATACACTGTATGTTTGTATATCGATCATTTCATCACAGTCACGCATACCTGAAGTTTGCAATTTGTATAATAAAGTCAGCCTGGAGGCACTCTGTACCATGTGCAACATTTCACTCAAATAACAATGCATATTACAGGAATTAAACCAGGAAATCAAACCACAGGTAGAAGGTATATATGCACTAAATATTCTATCCATACTATGGAATATTAATCGTTCACTCAGATATGTATTAGCAAGAGTTGACATATGCATGCTGGTGTGAAACGAAATGATGGAGAACCGCTGGAGACTCTAAAAAGGTGATGTAGGATTGTGGCTTTGAATTTAGTTAATGTTCCCTAAGATAGCCTATCAGTCAATCTGTCCACTGCTGTCTATTATCAATCATTGAGATTTTGTTAGCATTTTGCTCGATTCAATAAATTATCGAGTGGAAATTTATATTCATTTTATTAGACCTATAACCAGTATAGACCCTTTTCATAAATGTCTGCCGATTAAAAATTCTTTTATGTGCATATAAATTGGCCCAACTAGCCTCATACTCATGTTAAGATTTCAAAGGAATTTCTACCTAGAAACGAGGCTAGTTGGGCCAATTTATATGCACATAAAAGAATTTTTAATCGGCAGCCATTTATGAAAAGGGTCTATAATGCCAAGAAAATCTTAAATATTTACCCATAACCTAAAACATGGCAGTACCCCTCTCTCCTCCGCAGAGGCTTTAAATGGCCGCCTGCGCTCCTTCGCCCAGCAGCTACGCTCGTGTTCCAAGATCCGCCATGTAAAGTGTAGTGAAATGTATCTCATCATAATATTAAATCCTAAGAAAACTAAAGCCTCTGCGGAGGAGAGAGGCAGTACCCTATATTTATATATACAGGAGCTTGAGGTTAGAGCTTGACAATTGGCCTGTGTACCTCAGTTACTTGGAGCACTGCACCAGAATTGCAGGGCGACAGGTTCAATTCCTGCCAAAGACCTGAAGTTACATTTTTCGCAGGTGTTCCTGGTTAGGTCTAATAAAATGTATATCAATTTCCACTTGATAACTTCCATCAACAAAACGCTTCAGTCAATCATTCAGCCAACCATTTAGGACTCTCTTTTCTTTTATTCAGAATACGTGTATCTAAAAGTGGTGATGCAAAACATGGACAGAGGCCTTTGTTTGAAAATCATTTTGTTGCCGATATACCTGGGAAGATTCATGTTGGAGACAATATCACTGTCGTCACTGTTCTTGCTTAACCATATCCTCGACCCTATCAGAGCTAGAGCTCTCCCCTCTGCAAGTAAAATGGTCTTGTGTTAGACAAAGTAAGCAGGGGCGGATCTAGGATTTTTCGTACCTCAGTCAAAATTTTTTTGGTGGACGGGGCGTTATCGGCGCTGGGCGTGGTCTCGACTGGCCGTGGTCGACTCCAGACGGGGGGAGTGAGCGCTAAATAATTTTTATGTTGATAGTCCGCCACTGGATTTTAGAATTTTCCGTACATAATATGCGATTTGGTCCCCCCCCCCCCC